AACACTTTCACAGCCATTCTTAATTGAGATTGTTGATTTTGAACTACGTATAAGTATATATGATTTCAGGGAAAAACATCTCAGAATGGTATGATGTAGATATTTTAGGTGTAAAATATTTAAAACACTACCCGCAAAGTCACAGCACAAAAACTGTACAAGCAACAAAAAGAACAAAATTAACTCAAAGCTTACAGTGTGTGAATAGSTAACTAATTACTGGAAGAGGAGAAATTAAAAATCTGAATTCGACAGGTTATCGTGTTACAAGTCATCATAGAGAAAACTCAGTCTATACTCATATCTAATTGGATAATGCACTACACATTAATCAATCTTGACTGTGTTAAACAGGATCTAAGGGACTTCATAAAATCATGCTTTTTTGTTTTTTCATTAGATCAAATATCTGTTTTTGAAGGCTGGCAAGGGTAGGGAGATATTTTTTCAGCACAGTGGCACTAACTCTGAACTCATCACCAAGGAAATAAAACTCTTCGTTTATAGTACAAAACGCCATTTCTTCCATTCCTGCTACGCATAGACTAACAGACCTGTATATGCAACAGTCATGATTGCAAGATTCAGTACTTTCTGGTTTTACTGTATTTTGATCTTCAATTCAGATTGAAGCACTTCTAGCAAAATCCACAGTTGACAAATAGTAATGCTCTACTGCAATGCACAGAAAAGTTAWTAATTGCTTCTTTTGAATTTTATTTTTAATATCTCTAACTATGGACTTTCTAGACTTTTATTTCTCAAGCAGATTTCAAGCTTCCTGGTGCATAAACTCTCATATAGATCTGTTTCATTGCTGAGATTTACAGACAGTATCAGTATGGAATTACAATAAAGTAGCACCTGGCTCCTTCAAATAGCACCTTAGAAAGGAAACAAGACTCCATCCTTCGTTTACTTAAGCTTATTGAAGAAAAGCATATTGAATTCTAGAAGAAAAATAAGTAACTACATATAAGGATACACTAGGTATTTATTGTCATGTATGTTGTGAATGGAAGATAGACACAGGAGTATTWTATTAGGTGTGATAGGATGAAATAGGAAAAATCCAGGAAATCCTCCTGACACTAAGATCTATTAGGAATTTTCCCCTAAAGAAAATAGAGGAAGCCCTATTTCCTGGGATAATTTAATTGTACTTCACAAGATAGAAAATATATACAAAGAACATCCTGCGTTTAGAAAAAAAAGTGAAGCTGATGACAATTTTTTCTATATTTAGGCTGGACAAGCCCCAGACTATCTCTTTCTTCTTCTTACATGTGCATACAGGCAAAAGCATAATCAAAACAGTCAAGAAGATAAAACGGTGAAACTATGGAAATGATGTATAGTTATCATTATAGACTTTCTCCAAGATTTCCTTCTAGTCAATTTTAAAACATTTTTTGTATTTATATTGTTTTGCTGAGAAATATCAAGGACTTACAGTAAAACAATCACTTTATCAAAGACCATGGATCAGATGTGAATATCACAGCTCATGCACTGCCACAGAGGCCAGTCTCAACAATTCTCTACTGAGTATGTAAGACAGGGTGAGGGTTACACTTCGTAAAGAAAAGCAGGCAGTCAAGGCAAAGTGCAGCTGAAGAGTTCACCTCCAGAGCAGAGCCATCATCCTACTCTACTACTCACCACCTCTCTTYGAGTCCTCTGAGCTATCAAACTAGTACTGCAACTTAATACATCTAATAATACAGTTACTTGCTTCTCGGAGGTAGAAGAGAAGCAGAGATTTTGTACTTGTACTTTGAGCTGGTTAAATGGGAAAAGGAGTACAAGATTCCTAGTTCTATCAAGTCAGTATTACCTGTGAGCTACAATTGAGTTGTACTGACTTGGCTGCAACATGCTGGTAGTATTACAGAAAACAAAAGCAGTTAATAAATCAAATATGCAGGCTTTTCAATCATCACTTTCAAAAAAAAACAGTATGTCCCACTAAAGGTGCCAAATTATAATGAAACTTATAGAGTGCTTCAGGCCCATGTATTCCACAAAAGTGGAGGTATCAATATTCTAGTTCATCTACTGAAGGAGCAGTGTCTCTGAAGGACAYTGCAGTGAGCAAGAAGGCAGACAAGACAGACAAGATAGCAATTCTCAGCATGTAATCATTTGTGTTAGTCTATCCCATATTTCATTCCTTTTTTAACATTTTATATTTACAGTATTGCCCAGAGATACCAAAAACAGGCTCAACGAACAGTGACTCTTACAGCTCTGTATCCCCATAATGCCTATAATCCTTCCAGAAAGACAGGATTCTATTTTATGCAATGTTTCTATGCTTTCCRTTACTGATTTCAGTGTCTGTCTCTCTTTCATACTCAAAATTATATCAAGTTAAAACGTGGCAATGATAAATTTTTTTTCAGCGATTACTTGTTGTAAGTTGGGACACTGAAGACACTCTCCATAAGAAAGCAAGCTGTAAAARTGAAGTAAGATTTACCTTGTAACTAATACTGTATTTAGTAAACACAGGGACAGAACTTCAGTTGACTGTTGCAGCTTAGGTGAGTGCAACTATGACCACAGAGGCCAGTAGTTGCACGATAGTTTTATACTAACTGATTTTAATATTTCTTTTTCTTTCTTTTTTTTTTTTTTGTACATAAGAGATCTTAGATTTCATCTTTATAGATCTATTTATTTCATAATTACTTTTATTGCAAAATACACTGTTTCCTAGAGTTTCAGCAAGCCTGAGCTAAAAACATCCCAAGTTGCATTAGCTGCCATCAAAGCAATGGAGAAGAACACTATCACATGAGCAATCTGTGATTGCTTTCTCAGAAAGAGAGTATCAATTTATAGCTCATCTGYATTAGAACAAAAGCACAGGATCAAATCCCTCAGACTTGATCACTCAAAACAAGTAGTTTGTGACTGTATATGCACATTTTTCAAAATATGCCTAGTGCTTAAAATGGAAATGCATTTCAATTCAGTCTTTTTAATTAACTTCTGAATTTTGTCCTAAAAAAAAAAAGTCTAGATGACAAAGCAGTGACTAAGCTTCTACACTAGAAAAATGTTATTGCCTGTAGTTGTTTTTTCTTTATATTGGTTATATATATAGTGTATATATATATATATACATATAGTCTCTATATTTTATATTTATCTTCAAAAAATAGAAATAAGGAAAAAGAGTGACAGCAACAGCAACATCCCTGTGTCCAAACACAATCTATTTGTAAAACTTAAAGAAAGCAAGGCACAGCTGTAATTACGAAAAACATCAACAAGTCCTTCAGAACTGATGAATAACGATGCAACCAAAGAAATAAGATCTGTCTGTGGAGCTGGAAACACTGGAGTTTAACAAGTACTTTTTCAGCAACTGAAACTTTTTGTAATAAATTTTATTTACAATAGATGGTGTCTTTTCCTTCTGGTATTACTTCCTTTCTGGCTACTAGTATATTTCACTCTAAGAAAAGTCCCACAATGTCAATTCTCACTAAATTTTGTTAATCCATAACACATTTTCTTTTAAAAGACCAAGCTTGGAAAGCTGACTGAAGTTTCTAGCAAGGTATAGTTGAGTGAATATACTCTTCTCCAAAGCAGCCTAACTTACAGATATATTGCACTTTCTTAAATTCAGAAGCTGCCACCCACTCTCCATTTTCTTCAGATTAAATACTGCCAGAATCTCAGGACATTTCTTTCATCATCTTTATGACATACAGGTTCAGCAAAAATGCCTTTTGTGTCTTTTCCAGACAATGAGCACAGAGAAACTACGGAGCAAAAAAGAATCTGGAGAAACTCTGGTGACCAAAAATAACCCACATGCTCTGTTCAGGTGGCCTAATCCAAATAATCAAAAACACTAGTGAAAAAGCAGTAACCAGGCAGTTAGGGAGGTTAGGAGCTAGAGTTCAATGTAAACTGTCTTCATTGCTATTTTAATTCTTGTTAGGCAAGCCAAGTTAAGAACAGACTCTTTTCTTCTCCTCTTCCCACAGTACCGACTTGCCTTCGGTGACTTGTCACTTGTCTGAAGTCACACAGGAACATTAGGTCATCTGCCAAGAGGGGACTGAAGCGTCCAGAGCTACCCAGGCCAGCATTCTGTCAATTGGGAGAGCCTTTCCCAGGACCAGTTTAATTCCTGGGTAATGCATATGTTTTTGAACTATTTCTGGCCACTGAAGAGCATCTGTGATTAGAACAAACTGCTTCAGTCTGTTTACGATACCCTCTGGAGCAGGACAAGGAAACCCTTCTGCTGGAATTTCCATTAGAAAAAAAGTTATACTAGTCTGGAGATTAAGATGCTCCTTAGGACAAGGGACTGGACTCCCATGCTCAGGACAAGGTAGATACACCTGTGTTCTTGAGGGTAAACTCTCCACTGGCCATCAAGCTATTTTAGTAGAAGTCAGATGAGTACAGGAGGGAAATTCACATCAGCTACTCTGTAGGTACACAGTAGTAGGTCAGCAAAAACTAACCTTCTTAAACTAGTTGTCAGTTATGCTGCAGCAAATGACAAATTTTGCAATTGCAGTATATTTATGTTCTCAGCAGAAAAAATGTATAAACTGTTGGTAATTAAAATCAACACATTTTAAAGTAAGTATTTATAAAAGTACATTTGTAGTTTATAGAAGCAATAATTGAGTACTATAAATACCTACCCATCATCTCATCATGCATCTTATACTGTATAAATAAACGTCTACTTGTTACTGTAGAAATAAGGTAATAGTATGGTGCTCAGCCTGGTAGCTACATTAGATTTTATTGCTAAATCTTTCATTTAAAAATTAAAAAGAGTTCTAAACAAGTATTGATGACGTTGTTTAACATGAATAAAAATTATTCTGGAGTTTAATTGTTTTTGGAATCTTTTAAAGTAAAAATAGAAGTTTTATCCATAAAAGAGTTAACAAAAGCCTCCAAGACTAAGCTCTACTTGGTCTATCAAATCATTAAATTGGAAAAAAATATTTTACCTTTTCACCTTCTTCACCTTTACTACCTGCAAGGCCATGATCACCCTGGAACACAAAAGAGCAAAATAAAAATTTCTAATATACACAATTGTCAAATAATATTATTCTTTAAAGTAGTTCTAATGCATTGAATTTCTATTTTGGCATTAAAGTATAAGAAATCACTTGAATGCTCATTATTCAAATTATTTCTCATTATTCAAGTGGTTTGAAACCTCTACAGGAAACTAGCATGGCTTTCCATCATTTTTGCTGCTTAACAGTAACAGACGACTATCTTTTTTTTTTCAATCTAAGGAAAATTGTGCTATTCTGCCAGGTTTTATACATTTATTACATACATTTTATCCAATTTATTCATATTATTACATACATTTATTCCAATTAACTACTTCATTTTAATTTATAAATGTGATTAAGCATCTGTAATGTTCTCATAAATCCATTCAACTGAGAAAAATATACACCTACTGAAATAAACCTTTCACTTTAAAAACAATTCAGTCTCGTTAATCAAATACTAGAAAAACCTAGAAAATGTGACAATTGAAACTCTATTTAAACTCAACTCAAATCCAGCTGATTTCAGACAGCTGAAATCTGCATTTGACCATCTTTTACCAAAAAGACCTATTATGATCTTCCTGCTTCAATGTAGCTTGGAAAAAAACCTTAACATAACATTCTTGCTATGCTAGTGTTTGTGTCAAATAGTCTTCAGCCTGGCAATGTTACAAGAAAATATGCATCTATTTTACTAAAATGTTTTAAAATCTTTATTCATTCTGTATTCATGAGAGAGAAGATTGTATTCTAGTACCACAAAAATAACTACCTTAAATAAATAAATAAATAAAGTAAAATAGACAACCATTTTCTCTCTACACCAAACCATCTAACAAGACACTTTGCTTATCTATGCCCATTGCCAGGCTTCAGGCTCACTGCCCCAGTATAACTCACAGAATTTTTACAGGTCTGAAGAGGAAGAGAGTGGAAGATTTCCAAAGTAAAGAATACGGTATTTTTCAATATTACTTTTAAAAAAATTAGAATGAGCAGAGTCTAAACATTCTTTCACCCTTCCCAGAGTTTCTTTTCCTTAGATAGAAGTCTAAGGTTTAAATGAGGTTAACTAAAACAGCAGGCTACAACTTCAACCTTTATAACAGCATTTTGCCGAATTGTTCAATTGGTAGAGAATCATGGGAATACATCTAGGAATTAATTCCAGAGCTTTAGAGATGTGCAGATTTTTATATTAGCGAATAGTTCTGGACTTATCAGCAACTGTCTGCAGTGGTTTCACTTTCTGCCTTCTGTTTGTCTTTTTGGCTGGTGTGAATGATGCAGTCAATGGCTTAGCAGCCAATTTAGAGGTAGGTCCAAGAATCAGTACGCAAAATTTAATTTTGTAAAATAACATTTCATATGTTCTCACCTAAAAATSAGTGCTTATTTTCTAAAATAATTTCTGAATGGGTGCAACTTCTATTTCTCCTTCTTTTCCAATAGCTGGACATAAAACATAGCTCCTATTTTTGACAAATTCCTAGAAGCAAGGCATTTTCTCCATTCAGTTTTACTATTTGTGATATTGCAAATCCAGTCTATATTCAATTCCCAATTTCTTATATAAAATTCCCCCAACAAAGCTGACTGGAGTGCAACTGAGACATATTTTAGAGAATCATAGGAAGGCTGTTCAGGAGTGGCTCTTGGAGATCTCTAGTTCAACCTCTTGCTCAAAGAGAGAATACTGCCAACACCAGATCAGGTCTGTCTTTACTTTGTCTAGGTAAGTCTGGCAAACTTCTGATGTCAACGCTGTCCTATTAGCTGAATATAGAAATAAGATCCCCTCTACCTCTTCAAACCATCTCTTCTTAAATCAGAACAAATGCAGTTCCCCCAGCCTCCCATCACACATCATGGGGTTTGGTGCTCTGACTCTCTTTGGTGGGCCTCCAGTGGGCTTGTTCCAAAGAGTTGCTCTTTCTCCTCTCCTGGGCAACCCCAAACTAGACAGAACTTGAGATGTGGCGTCGCAAGTACCAAATAAAAGATCACTTCACAAAATCAAATCTTTCGACCTGCTGGTTATGATTTTGCCAAGGCAGCCCAAGCTGCAGTTGTCCTTTTTCAACATTTTCATTCAGAGGTGTTTTCCAGGAACTCTGCATCCAGGATCTGCTACTGCATCACTTTGCAATTATGGTTGCCTTTGTTGAATTTTATGAGGTCTTTGCTAACACATTTGTCCAGCCTGACAACATCCTTCTGAAGAGTATTCTAAGTCTACTTTTCAAGGCATTGACCCCTCCTCCATATTTGGAAATATTCATGACAGTGCACTCTAGATCATCACTCAGGTCATTAATATAGGCACTAGACAGTACTCTTCCAAGTACACCTAGAAGGATGATACAAGTTACTGGCTATCAGTTGTTCTTTGCTGCACTGATCACCAACCTTCGAATCCAACAGTCTAGCCAATTTTCCACCCACCTTGATTGAAAAATGCAATCAAAGGTTATACAATCATTCACACATCACAGAATTACCTGTGATTACATTGCATACAAGGCAGAGTGCTCATTTCTAGGCTCTATTCAGTCAAAGGTGAGTTTCAGATATCCCCTTATTCAGGGGGGCACCCTACCTATTAGGTTTAGAGGCAATGCTAAATGTTAATTTGTGACACTAGGCAGACAAAGTCCTTTTCTCCCAATTCTGAGCAGATGCTCTAACCACCAAAGGATCATGTTAAAATACTGCCTCCTCTATCCCATAAAAGGAAAAAAAAAGTCAGTTGTACAGTTGACTGGTAGTCACTCTCATCCTTTTGTCACCCAAAGTGACCTGCTTTATGTACTGTTTGTGTAAATTAAGAATCTAATCTGTAAATGCCATTCCCCTGAGCATGTATAATTCAGTAATATCTCAGAAAATACAAAATATTGTAATTGTTTCCTTATAAATTCCTTCTTAACAAAGCCTATTAGGTAATTTGTAGACCTAGTAAGAAATAGGCTATGTAACTGACGGCTATGAAACATCCTCCATTTAGAGCACCATGAAATAGGCCACTGTGAAGTACATTAATTATGGTCACAATAAATCTAGAGTTACTGAACTAAGTTCTGTTGGAAGAATTCATCCCTGATCATATGACTAAGTAGGAGCTTAGAAGACTTATTAAAGGAATCTGAAATCGAATGCTTTCTCCATTCCATTCATGGGTCTTAATTCCTTCACAGAAATATCCCCTAGTAACTCGCACACTATCCGATTCAGTTTTATAGCCAAGCCCAAATTCAACAACAAAAGGAAGATTCTAAACTTCACTTGGTGGTTTCCAAGCCAAGTAGAAGATAAATGCTTTCCAGACAAAAAAGGAACAAACAGAGACAAAGAAAAAATTCAGACCTCTCTTAACTACAGAAAAAAAAAAATCACTCATAAAAAATGATACAAGTAATTAAATAAATACAAAGCACTTATGATACATAACAATAAAAATACAGCTTTAAATAGCCTTTTAAAAAGGTATTTTTGCAAGTCCATTCACAGTACAGTTTCCAACATCTTCCTTCCAGCTCTTCTCTGGTAAAAATAGACTCTAGTGTGGTAGGGAAAAACGCTAATTAATCATTGCAAGTAATCCTTATTTCTTCTACTTGTCCAAATCTACAATATGAATTCAGAAAAATTCTTTGTAGTCTAGTAGTAGCCAGATAATATTTTATCATCAGTATTGTACTTGATCACTACAAAGTAGAAAATATTGCATTCCCTATTTTTTTCAAGGAGACACGCTAGAGGCAGTCTGCCTTGCACTGTTTAGTCAGTGTTCTACAGATGACTTCTTTGCTTCAAGACACTAATGCAAGAAGAGTCTTACACTCCAATATTGATTTTTATATGTTCTAAAATGTGAGTAATATTGTGGTTGCTTTAACTCTTTCTGAAACATGCAGAGTGTGCATAATCAAAGTTTTCTAATGCATTTATCATTTAATGCTTCTGCAGTTTTTCATTGCACTGCATTATTGCAATAGTCTGTAAGATTATCAATTCCGTTTATAGGTATAGTTTAAGATACAAAAACCTGCTTTATATCTTATCTATATATCAGAACGTATTTAATGATTTTTTTGAGTACTTTGACTTCAGGTTAGCTAGTTTTCCCCCAAATAAAAGGAGGAAAAGAAACAGCTAAATATATATTTTAAAAAAATATATATATTAAAAAAAGCTATCTTAATGTACAAATATCTGAACTTCATTATACACATTGCTTATTCTACTCAACAACATTGTGCCAAAAATGAAGCAGGTATCATATTAATTAACTATTAAAAATGAATAGCTACTTTTATCAATCATTCAGAAGGTGCTTTGCTATTTAGAACATTTTATAAATTAATAGGGTTTATAACATCAAGCATACTGGGACTCTGCCAGATGCTTTCCATGGGTAGGAGAGAGAAACAATTTCTGCAAAATATTTTAAATAGGCATTTAATGGAYATAATTCTGTGAAAATACATAATAATAATAAACAGTCAGATGCTTCTCTATCCTCAATACGAAGAGTAAACGTTTTCCTTTTGTTTTTAAATACACTGGGGGCACTGCCAGCAGCTTGATCTACAGGACAACTTTGCACTTCAGGGTTACTTGTAAGGAAACTCATTTTAATATAAGTAAAATCAGTATAGTCAAATGCTACTTACTGCTTGGAAAATTTATGGATATGTGCCTTTCATTTACYCTGACTATGTCAGACCTTTGGAATAATGTAATGGCCCCAGCTTTTAAAATGAGGACAGCTATTTATAGCATTGCAGAAATGGAGCGGAATGTTCAACAACGTACTACCACAGGGCTCTATCAACAGCCACCCCCTCGCCACACGTCCGGGGCAAGGCAAAAGCCACCAACAGGCTTAGAGCTTTTCTTTTCCGAAATAAAAATCCCACTCCAGTTATTCTCCATTGTATGGCATCTGCCTTGGCCTTTGGAATGTTTCCTTATTTCTT